TGCGCGCCCCCCCTGCGCCGCCTAGGCCGCAGCTACATTTTCATCATTTTCGTGAGGAAGCCTCAGAAAAGAGGGTGTGTACAGGATCCGGTTGTTTTGTTGTAATCCGCTTTCCCTTGCAAAAAACAATAGAAAATGACATTTCTTGTTCTAATATAATCAAATTTCAAGAATCCCTTGCAAAAAATAAGGTAAAGTGGACATTCGCGCGCGCAAGACGAAATCCTTCCAAAACCTTAGTGTTCGCAGCGATTTTAACATAAAAACATCAAAAAACCAATGGTTTTTCAACAAAAAAATGTCAAAATCTCATCCCGCGCGCTCTTGCGGATTCGTAGGAAACCCAACACTTTTTAAACATTTCTGTCAAACGGGCTTTTGCGAGCAACTTTTTCGAACTTCTGCGACAACGGTTGCGCACCTGCCAGGGCCATCATCCCTGTCAAATAATACCATGCGGGACACATTCGTTTTTTCTTCGCGCGCGCACGCCGAAATCTCCAAAAACCATTGGGCTTCTTAAGAATTTTAGCACCGCGCATCACATTCGTTTTTTCTTCGCGCGCGCACGCCGTCGTCGTCGGCCGCGGGGCCCTGAATAGTAGCCACGGTCGTCCGCATGCCGCGAAGTGAATGAAGTGTCCGAACGTCATAGGGCGGGAAGCTGGGTGTGGGTGGTGGCGAAGAGTCGTTTGGAAATTTGGTAGAGCTTGAACCGGCCCCCCCACAAAGTGGGGGTATTGCCCGCCTCCTATGAAAACCCTGGCACTGGTGAGAACGGAGTGTCCCCACGTGCTAGTAATTGTTGTTGTTGTTGTTGTTGTTGTTGTTGTTGATGTTGAACATTATTACTTCTAAAGAATAATTATTGTTGGGACCCCTGGTGCACGACCCCCCCGCCGCGCCTAGGCCGCAGCCTCATTTTCATCATTTTCGTGAGGAAGTCTCAGGCAAAACGGGGGAGTCCGGATCCGGTTGTGTTGTTACGATCGGTTTTCCCTTGCAAAAAATAAGCTAAAGTTGACATTTCTTGTTCTAACATAACCAAACTTCAAGAATCCCTTGCAAAAAATAAGGTAAAGTGGACATTCGCGCGCGCAAGACGAAATCCTTCCAAAACCTTAGTTGTTCGTAGCGATTTTAACATAAAAACATCAAAAAACCAATGGTTTTTTCAAACAAAAAAATGTCAAAATTTCATCCCGCGCGCTCTTGCGGATTCGTAGGAAACCCAACACTTTTTAATCATTTCTGTCAAACGGGCTTTTGCGAGCAACTTTTTCGAACTTCTGCAACAACGGTTGCGCACCTGCCAGGGCCATCATCCCTGTCAAATAATACCATGCGGGACACATTCGTTTTTTCTTCGCGCGCGCACGCCGTCGTCGTCGGCCGCGGGGCCCTGAATAGTAGCCACGGTCGTCCGCATGCCACGAAGTGAAGTGTCCGAACGTCATAGGGCGGGAAGCTGGGTGTGGGTGGTGGCGAAGAGTCGTTTGGAAATTTGGTAGAGCTTGAACCGGCCCCCCCACAAAGTGGGGGTATTGCCCGCCTCCTATGAAAACCCTGGCACTGGTGAGAACGGAGTGTCCCCACGTGCTAGTAATTGTTGTTGTTGTTGTTGAACATTATTATTCTAAAGAATAATTATTGTTGGGCCCCCTGGTGCGCGCCCCCCCTGCCGCGCCTAGGCCGCAGCTACATTTTCATCATTTTCGTGAGGAAGCCTCAGGTAAAACGATGTGATCCAGATCCGGTTGTTTTGTTGTAATCCGTTTTCCCTTGCAAAAAACACTATAAAATGACATTTCTTGTTCTAATATAATCAAATTTCAAGAATCCCTTGCAAAAAATAAGGTAAAGTGGACATTCGCGCGCGCAAGACGAAATCCTTCCAAAAGCTTAGTGTTCGGAGCGATTTTAACATAAAAACATCAAAAAACCAATGGTTTTTCAACAAAAAAATGTCAAAATCTCATCCCGCGCGCTCTTGCGGATTCGTAGGAAACCCAACACTTTTTAAACATTTCTGTCAAACGGGCTTTTGCGAGCAACTTTTTCGAACTTCTGCGACAACGGTTGCGCACCTGCCAGGGCCATCATCCCTGTCAAATAATACCATGCGGGACACATTCGTTTTTTCTTCGCGCGCGCACGCCGAAATCTCCAAAAACCATTGGGTTTCTTAAGAATTTTAGCACCGCGCATCATAAAATCACACGAATCGCACCGTAGGTCCTCGAAAAACACCTGCACGACTTTTCAAAATTTCCACCCGCGCGCGCTGTCCGAATCCTAAAAAAACCAATGGTTTTCCAACATTTATGTTACATGAGCTCGCGCGAGCTACTTTCGCACGCTCTTGCAACGGGGTTCGCGCGCCTGCCAGGGGCCACAATCCCTTGCAAAAAATATCATGCGGGACACATGCGCGCGTCGCCACGTACCCATGCGCCAGTGTAGTAGCCAAGGTCGTCCGCAGGCCACGAAGTGAAGTGTCCGAACGTCATAGGGCGGGAAGCTGGGTGTGGGTGGTGGCGAAGAGTCGTTTGGAAATTTGGTAGAGCTTGAACCGGCCCCCCCACAAAGTGGGGGTATTGCCCGCCTCCTATGAAAACCCTGGCACTGGTGAGAACGGAGTGTCCCCAGTCTTAGTGATTGTTGTTGTTGTTGTTGTTGTTGTTGTTGTTGTTGTTGTTGTTGTTGTTGTTGTTGAACATTATTACTTCTAAAGAATAATTATTGTTGGGGCCCCTGGTGCACGACCCCCCCGCCGCGCCTAGGCCGCAGCCTCATTTTCATCATTTTCGTGAGGAAGTCTCAGGCAAAACGGGGGAGTCCGGATCCGGTTGTGTTGTTACGATCGGTTTTCCCTTGCAAAAAATAAGCTAAAGTGGACATTTCTTGTTCTAACATAACCAAACTTCAAGAATCCCTTGCAAAAAATAAGGTAAAGTGGACATTCGCGCGCGCAAGACGAAATCCTTCCAAAACCTTAGTTTTCGTAGCGATTTTAACATAAAAACATCAAAAAACCAATGGTTTTTCAAAAAAAAATGTCAAAATTTCATCCCGCGCGCTCTTGCGGATTCGTAGGAAACCCAACACTTTTTAAACATTTCTGTCAAACGGGCTTTTGCGAGCAACTTTTTCGAACTTCTGCAACAACGGTTGCGCACCTGCCAGGGCCATCATCCCTGTCAAATAATACCATGCGGGACACATTCGTTTTTTCTTCGCGCGCGCACGCCGTCGTCGTCGGCCGCGGGGCCCTGAATAGTAGCCACGGTCGTCCGCATGCCACGAAGTGAAGTGTCCGAACGTCATAGGGCGGGAAGCTGGGTGTGGGTGGTGGCGAAGAGTCGTTTGGAAATTTGGTAGAGCTTGAACCGGCCCCCCCACAAAGTGGGGGTATTGCCCGCCTCCTACGAAAACCCTGGCACTGGTGAGAACGGTGTGTCCCCACGTGCTAGTAATTGTTGTTGTTGTTGTTGTTGTTGTTGTTGTGCTGTTGTTGTTGTTGGTGTTGATATTGTTGTTGTTGGTGTGGTTGTTGTCGGTGTTGTCGTGGTTATGTGTTGCGTGTTGTGTGTTGTTTCTTGTTTGTTGCTTGTCGTCGCTGTCCCACCCGCGACCCCGCCAGCCATCCGCCGGGACCCCCGCGCGGAATGTAATCATGCGACCACGTATCCGCAGGATCGCGCCCCACAGTGCAGACCGCGAGGGCGCGGAGATGGATATGTTCGCCGCTCGCGATCAGCTTCCCGTCGCTGCTGCCCCGTCCAGAACGGTCCCTCCGACCACGCCTGAGACAGGAGAAGGTCGATCCCCTCGGGCTCACACGAAATTAATTACGCAACTGCGCCCACTCACCCTCATTTCCCCCCCTCCCACCCAGTGGACCCGCAGCGCTCGGTTCGCGCCAGGCCCCGCCCCCTCCTGCCATCGCGGCACTCGCCTTCTTCCTCCTCGTACCCGCCTCGCCGCCTCGCGCCGTTCTGCGCGCCGTCGCCCTCCCTTGCTCCTCCTCTGCCGCCCTCCCGGCTCGCCCTCCCCGGTTTCCGAGGCCTGTCGCTGATCCATCCGCGACGCATCGCCGATTCCAGCTCGATGTCCCCGCCCACACACGCCACCCCAGCTCTACGGCCGTCCTCCCGCCGGCCCCCCTCGCTGTCCTGCTCCCGCGCTCACAGAGCCAGATTCCACACGTCATGGCGATATATTCAAGTGCTGCCCAAGGCAGCCCAGCCAGATAGACTCTAACCATGGGCTCGTGAGCGCTCTTGCCTTGTCCTGTCCTGCTCCCGCCACCCGCCACCCCCGTCTCCGCCGAGCGAGCGCAGGCGCAGGGCCCCAGGGCGAAGAGAGGGCCCGCCCCTTTGGCGGCGCGCCGCCCCGCCCTCTCCCGCACCCCCTCCGCCTGTTCCGCCTCCCCGCTGCCCTCGCCCTGGTCCTCTCCGCCCCCGACCCGCCCCGGAGCTGCCCCCCTCCTTCCCCTCGTCCCGTCGCCCAGCGTTCCGCAGGAGGAAGAGAAGAGAGGCCGAGGCGGAGGAGGGGGAGAGGAGTGCAAGAGTCAAGGGAGGTTGAGGAAGAGGAGGGGGGGGGGGAGCAGTTGGCTGTTGCCGCGGAACTCCAGCCATCCGCATTGGCACCGTGTGGCCGTGGACGCCCCTTCTGGTGCCCAGGACTCTGGTGCCTCGCACACACGGGACGGAAAGGAGAGCGGACCGCACTGCCTTGCCGCCGCCCCCAACGTCCGGCATCCACGCCGCTCACCAGAGGAGAAAGCACAACCACAACCACCTAATTACCTATGGGGGCTGGACTCTCCCCCCCCCCCCAAAGCTGGTGGCAAGCCGCTCGGGGCGCGCCCCCACAGAGTGCCCGGAACCGCGTGCCACCAGCTCGGAGGGGGGGGGGGGGGGGCCCTCTGGGAGCGGAGCTCCACGGGGCTCCGGTGGCGGCGGCGGCGGCTTCTCCTGCTCCCACGAGAACCGCAGGGTGCCCGGAGTTCCTGCCCGGCGGCTACCTCGGCGGGCTCCCCGGAGCGCGGGCCGCCGCCGCGGACGGGGCCCGCGCTCCGCGCGCGTGCGCACGCTCCTCTCGGGCCCACCGCTGCTCCCGAAGTTCGGCATCGCCAGGGCCTGTGCACGTTTTTGGCTCGGCGAGGGCCATCGGGGAACACCCTGCACCATCGAGCAAAACAGGTGACACGCACGACGCCGAGAGATCAACGGGGAACAGACGTCCGAGCGATGGCAGGCAGGGGAGGGGAGGGGAGGGGGATACGGAGACGAGATCTATGCATATCCACCGCCGCTGGCCAGGCCCGTTCTCGGCCCAAGAGCGGTGCATACGCCTTCCTGGCTTGGCCTGGTAGGCATACATATATATATATATATATAAAAATGAATGAATAAATAAATAAATAAATATGTGTGTGTGTGCATACACACCGCTCCTGGGTCCTGAATGGCCTGGCGGGCGGCGGTGGATGCGTATAGATCTCGCCGACCTATGAGTGGAGAGGGAGGGAGGGGAAGAAGGAGAGGGCGAGGGAGGAGAAGGAAAAGGAGGACGAGGGAGGGAAGGGACCGTGAGGGTGGGAGCGGACATTTCGCCGCCATTAGTGCACCCAGCGACTTGTGTCCACGGGGTGGCCTCAATTGCGCTGTGCTTGGCGGCTGCTGAGCTCATTGCAGCGACGGGCGAACGCAAGACTCCGACATGTGCTCGTGCCAAGCTTGGCCCTACTGCGCGTTCCCATGGCCAGGGTGCACACGAGCGCCGCAGACGAGAAACCGAGACACCGAGAAATCGAGAGACTGGAGGCGGAGGAGAAGGAAGGGAGGATGAGAAAGAAGGGCGAATATTATGACAAACGATGGATGTACAGGAACAGGAGGTGGAAGAGGAGGAGGAGGAGGAGGAGGAGGAGGAGAATGGAGGGGGGATGTAAGGACAAAAGGGGGGGAGGAGGAGGAGGAGGAGGAGGAGGAGGAGGAGGAGGAGGAGGAGAAGGAGTAGGAGGAGGAGGAGGAGGAGGAGTAGGAGGAGGAGGAAAAGGAAGAGCAGGAGGAGAACGATGAGGAGGAGGATAATGATGATGATGCTGACGATGCTGATGATGATGATGATGATGATGATGATGATGATGATGATGATGATGATGGTGGTGGTGATGATGATGCTGATGCTGATGCTGATGCTGATGCTGATGATGCTGACGATAATGATGATGATTATGATGGTCATGATGGTGATGATGGTGATGATGATTGCGGTGGTGGTGATGACGAGGATGAAGATGATGACGATGTTGATGATGATGAGTACCACGATGCTGACGATGATGATGATGGTGATGGTGGTGATGATGATGGTGATGATGATGCTGTTTAAGCTGTTGATGATGATGCTGATGATGATAATGCTGATGATGATGCTGCTGATGCTGCTGATGATGCTGATGATGCTGCTGATGGTGGTGGTGGTGATGATGATGATGATGATGATGATGATGATGATGATGATGATGACGACGAGGAGGAGGAGGAGGAAAAGGACGAGGCCAAAATGAAATGGGGGAGGAAAGCGGGACGATGAGGGGGGGAGGAGGGTGGTGAGGGCGCCCCAATGAGATCGTTCATAGTCGATGCCTGCTGTGGCAGTTTTGCACCTTGTGGTCGCAGCAGGATGTCCCTGTCGAGGGCCCTGCTGCCACCAGCTTGCTTGGGGCGCCGCCCCCCTTGGCCCCCCAACGCGGGAGGAGGGAGGAGCAGGATGAGACAGATGCGGATGAGGGGGAGGGATGGAGGGAAGGAAGGAGGTGGGTCCGGATGAGGATGAGGAGGAGGAGGGCTTTAGAATTAGTGTGTGGCTCTTTGGCTGTTGGGTGGGCTCGATTTCGAAACAACGGCCCGCTATCCGAGGCAGGCGTGACGCTAAACATACGTGCTAAATAGTGATGGCAAGCGACGGACTCAGAATTTGTTCGAGAAGATGGATTGTGCAACAGAGACTTGTCCAACGTTCCATGTTACGCTCGAGTGCCTGAAGGGGATGGAGACGTCGTCCTGGCTCAGAAAATCAACTGGCCCGCGGGCGGACATGCACCTGTGGATGAAGGGGGCAGACTTGCAGATGCTGAGGCAGCAATTGTTGTGAGTTCAGATGGGACTCAACACCATTAATAACCACACCTCCTCAGCACATTGCTAGAAGCTCTATTTTCGACTCAAGGGAAAAGTGTTTGCAACCTGTGGTTGTTAGGGATCTTGGTGAGTTCGCGTAGGGTGGGGCCCAGGAAATCAAGGACCTTGGACTGTGGACCCTGGGACCTAAAGGAATGGCCAGTAAGAGGTTATTCCCCTAAGGATTATAAGTGTCTCTTGTTGCAAGCTTTCTTCGTCAACTACCCTACGGGTATGACTCTACAGCAGTGGGGATTTGACAAAGGTGGATTGTGTCCACCCTGCAGGCAGCCAGATTCACAGCATCCCTTCCTCTCTTTGGATGGCGAATCCCTGTGTCACAAGCAGGCGCTTGGAGGAGTCCTTGGTCCACCACTTGCATGGCCATCTTGGCCGTTGTGTTCGGTTGTTCCGGCAGACGCTGCAAGAACGGAAGCTGTTTTGGTTGGGCGATTCTTGGGGTGCCGAGCTTTGGACGGGCTGAGGTCCAGGTTTCGGTACACGGCGAAATCGTCCATGGGATCCCGGGACCGGTACCTGATAGAGTGCCGCAGACGGCGGCCACGGCCGAACACCATGTTGCGTGTATGTTCGAGCGCCATTTGGAACCCGCTGCCGCCGACACTCCAACACCCACTTTAATGGCTGTTGCCCTCGAGACCGTGCTGCACGTTGATTGCCAAGCTGTGGTCTGGGAAGCTCTGAGTTTCAGACGTGCCAAGCGTCAGTCAGCACCGCATAGCGGTACTGGAGAACCGTTGGTAAGCCTACAATTGGTGCGGTGAAAGTCAAGGCGCGCAGGGATGAGGATCCATCCATGTCGGCCCAGGAGCTTTGCCGCGTCTGGGACAGTAGGTGGGCTGACCACTGTGCGAAGATAGAATTCGGGTAAATGGCCTTAGCTCATGTGTTGAAGATCGAATGCTGCACAAACAGATGTCGTTGAACATGCTCCAGGTCCTTGTTAACTGGCTGCTCCTGCTGACCCTCTATTGGGGCCTTGTCTAGGACTGGAGAGGCTGGGGTCATTCCGTGCCCTCAGTGGCCTGAAGATCATGTCTGGGATAGTTGCCAATATAGGTGCGGACAGTGCCGCAGACCAGGAGCTAGATATTTGACAAAATTCACAACGCTTCGAGTTCTCCCCGACCGTCGCCCCTCTGATTGATAAAGCCAGCCAGGAAGGGTACCAACATTGCCTGTGGGTGGCCCTGCTGGAGCCGTCGAGATTGCCAATGGTGTCGCGCGCGGTGAATATCTGAGGATTGCGCCGCCCCACCCCCTCTTCACTGGAGGACACGGGACTGCAGGTCTCCGAACCCTGGCGTCTCCGTGAATTCCCAGGCTCCCAGTTGCCCCCAAGGCAGGTTAATTGTGCTGGTTGAGGACGAGGCCTCTTCTCTTATCTTCTGTCTTGTAGCGACATGCTGTCGCGCAGGACTCTGAAATGTCGAATGGTCGAATGAGGGGGAGGATAGTCACTAGATGGCAGAGTCAATGGGGATGGGGGAAGGACGATGGGGAAGAGGAAGAGTCTGAGAAGGAAGTGAGGAAGGATGGGAGGAGCAGGAGGAGGAGGAGGAGGAGGAGGAAGAGGAGGAGGAGGAGGAGGAGGGGGAGGAGGAGGACGGGGAGGACGAGGGGAGTTGGAAGAGGAGGAGGAGAAGGAGAGAGGAGGTGGAGGAGGATAGGACGCGAGGGAGGATCTCCCTCCGCCTCCCCACCCCTCCCTCCCCCCTCCGGCCCCCTCCCCCTATGGATGAGTGGCGGGGGGGGGGGAGGGCAGGGCTGGGCATCGGGGAAGGAGGAGGAGGAGGAAACGGAGGAGGAGGACGAGGAGGAGGAAGAGGACGAGGAGGACGAGGGGGACGAGGAGGACGAGGAGAACGAGGAGGACGAGGAGAACGAGGAGGACGAGGAGGAGGAGAAGGAGGAGGAGGAGGAGGAGGAGGAGGAGGAGGAAGAGGAGGAGGAGGAGGAGGAGAAGGAGGAGGAGGCGGAGGAGGAGGAGGTGGGGGAGGAGGAGGAGTCGAGGGGGTCCCCTCCGACCGCCCCCCCCGCCGCGCCGGCTACCGCGCGATTGTCCCGGGCCCTCGCCGCGACGGCTGCGCTGCCCAGAGTCGGCTTCGCAGGCACTCAACAATTTCGAGTACAGCTACGAGTGCGGTGACAAGACGGAGGCCGACGTCGACCCTGGCGCTACAGCGGTGCCGGTGATGGATGGCGCCGCGGGCCCTGGCGCTGCGTTGGCGGCAGGCGCTGCACGTCTGGGCCAACGGGCATGCGACCAGGGGACCGTGAGCGACTTGGACGAGGAGGAAATGGCGAGGCGGGACGATAAGGTACAGGATGCGGACGGAGCGGCTGCTGCCGCGCCCTCCAGAGCAGCCCACCTTGGCGGCGCATCCCGCGCCGCTGCTGCCCCGTGGAGCGCCGCAGGCGCCCCTGCAGGACGCCTGCCGCCGTCGCGGGCCGCCCGTCCGCGCCACGCGCCGGCCCAGGGCGAACACCTGGACGGCGACTTTGCAGCCTGTTCGAGAGCATGTTGCGATGTGCTATGTCTGCTATCAGGGCTTCGCTCACAAAAAGGTGCGGCTGGCGAGCCGCGCCAACCTGGACCAACCTGGACCAGCCGATTTCCAGCACGACCCCAACATCCGGGTAGCGGCCTACCTAGATGACGTGTTCGTCGTCGGCACACCACAAGAGCTTGCCACGACCTTCGCCGCTGCCGCCGCCCATGCCCTCCTCGCTGCGCTCGGCCTCCGCCTCAACGCCAGCAAGACCAAGGCGTTGAACCCGCGCGGGCTGCGGCTTCCGCAGAGCCTCGCTGCCGCGTCGGTGGCCGAGCTGAAGCGCGTTGGCAGCCGCTTGCCGCTCGTCTCCGGCGGGGCTGCGGCGAACGGACTCGGCCAGGTCCCAGCCATGGGGCGAGTTTCGGCTCCGCGGCTGCGCCCGAGCCGGCGGTTCGCCCCTGCGCGCCTTCTAAACGAAGCTGGACCACCTGCGCGTTCGTGAACGGTGCCGCCCTCCACCACGCGGGAGCGCACCTGCTCGACGAGGCCTGGTCGCGCACCTACGACGACGGGGTCCTGCAGCACGCGCAGGGCCTCCTGCCGGGCCAGCCGCTCATGGCCACCGCGCGCGAGACGGCCTTCCTGCCACTGGCGCGCAGCGGGCTTGGCTTGCACAGCTTTGAGGAGCCACGCCCGCCCGCGCTCGGGCTCCCAGAAGGCGTGCTCGGCGGAGGTGCGCCGCGAGCTGGGTGGGCCCAGTCTCCAGGCCTTCGCCGCCGCGTGCCCTCAGACGCGGGCGACGGCCGAGCAGGCCAGGCGGCTCGCCGGGGCGAGCGCCGCTTCCGAACGCCAGGGGAATGCACAGAAGCGCTTGACAAAGCCGGCGCAGGACCAGTGACGCGCTGGCTTGCTGGCCTCGTTGCCCGCCAGCGAGGCCGCCAGCCTCCGCTCGGCTGGCGGCAGTGGCGCGTGCGTCCCCCACGCGGCAGGACCACCTCGAGCACCTGCGGCTGGCGTTCGCCTTCCGGCTGCACCCGCCGCTGCCCGCTCGAGGGAGCCAGCCCCGCCTGCCTGCAGCGGAAACGCGACGGAACGGTCTGCGGCGCCGACGTGCGCGCTTGGCCACGCAGCATACTGCAGGCTGCACCGAGGGCGGCCTGGCCATTTTCAAGCACGACGGCGCGCGCGACTGGCTGGTTGGCTGGCTGGCTGGCCGAGCGGGGCGCCGCGGGTTTGGACGTCGAGCAGGACGCGCCCTCTTGGGACCGCGCCCGCCAGGGCGGCAGCGTGGAAACCGCGCGGTCATGACCTGCGTCGACCCCGTACGACCCCGTCGCTGGGCGGTAATACGTCGATGTCACGGTCACCGTCGCCGCGCTCGGGGCCAGCGCGGGCGCCGTCCGCGGCCGCGCGACCCGGGATGGCGCCGCGGCGGCCGAGGAGCGCAAGCATCGGCGCTGCCCGGGGCCCGCGCTGCTCGCTTTCGCGCTTCCATGTGTCGGCCAGGCAAGGAAACGCAGGTCCTGGCAGCTGGTCCGCGCTGCAGAGCCTTTCCCGTAGCTCTCGAGCGCGGCAACGCCGAGGCCTGGCGCGCAGCCGTGCTGCAAAGGGGCGCCCCCGCGCGACGGCTGTCTGCTGCCGCAGAGCACGGCGCGCCGCCTGCGCCGCGCGCGCGGCTCGGGCAAGCGCCGCGCGGGCCCGCCAGGGGGCCTGGCGCGGGGCGGCTCTGGCTGAAGGCGCGGCGGCACGCCGGCGGAGGCGGGCGCAGGCGATGGCGAGCTGGGCGCGTCAGGCGGCGGCGGGTGGGACTGCGTGGCTGACGAGGCGCAGGTATCCTTCGGCGAGCTACGGCGGCGCGGAGGGCGGGCCGGGAGGCGCCGGACGGCGGGAGGCGCAGCAGCGCGAGCTGGGCGGCGGCGCCCATGCCGCGGCTGGCGGCCGGCGGGCGCAGGGCAGGCGCGGCGGCTGGCGGCTGGGGCGGCGCAGCGGGCCGGGCAAGGGCGATTGCCCGCGGAGGCCGGCGACGCGGCGGCCTGCAGGCCGGCGGCGGCGGGCGCTGGACGGCGCTGGCGGCCGGCGGCCGTGGCGCCCGGGGCCCGTGCGCGGCGGAAGAGCTCGGGAATAGAAGGAGGAGGAGGAGGAGGAGAAGGAGGAGAAGGAGGAGGAGGAAGAGGAGGAGGAAGAGGAGCGAGAAGCGGGCAGCACAATTCGGCAGCCGAGGGGTCGGTGGCGGTTCGGGGGGCCAGCGGCGAGCAAGAGGACGAACAGAGAGACGCGGGGGGGGGGGACAGAAAAGGACATGGACAATGGGGGAGAAAAGCGAAGAGGAACAATTCGAATGCTGCTACGTCTACGACTATTTTAACAATCGCAACACGTAGCGAATCTCAAACGGAACCCTTCCGCGCCCGAGCAGGAGGGGGAGCGGCCGCGGGGGTGGAGGAGGCGCAGGGATAGCAGCAAGAACAGGAGGACGAGGGAGTCGAGGATGAACCCGAGCGTGGGCAAGACGGGGGGGAGATCCGGGGCGGGGCGGCACGTCAGCCCGAGCTCATGGGCCAAGTTTTGAACGGACCCGCCCGCGGGTGCGAGGAAGTCGAGGATGAGCCCGAGCGTGGGCAAGACGGGGGGGAGATCCGGGGCGGGGCGGCACGTCAGCCCGAGCTCATGGGCCAAGTTTTGAACGGACCCGCCCGCGGGTGCCCCCACCAGCACCCCGATTCCATGGAACCTGTTTGGCGCACGGTTCGCTGACTGGCGAGCACCGTCGATGTTGGCGTCGGGGCCCTGGGAACCTGGACGTGCAATTCAGATCTTTGAGCGGTGAGAGAGCGAAGATTGCAGAGCGTCTCGATCCACGGCTGCTGTTCTCTCGGGTGTGCCGATTGCCTGGATTATCAAAGTCCCCGCTTACAGGGCCCCGATGGAACTTGAATCCCGCGACGCTGCGATTGCAAGCGCCACAGCGTGGTGGCACAGGACAAGAACAGTGCGATGGATGAGATCGCCGTCGGAGGTGTCTAAAGGTGTCCCTGGCCCAAGGTGCCCCCATGAAGCGCCCGGCGCCCTGTGGCCTCGTGAGTGGTGCTCTGGAGGCCGTCGGATTCTCCTTGGAAATCCTGGGGACACCCTGGGCCAAGGACACTTCTGGCAACACCGGATGTCGGGACACCCCCGCCCCCCGGTCCTCGCGGCGCCGAGTCTGCAAGCGCAAACAAGTCGTGATGGCAGCTGACAGGGACCTCTGCGCCGCGGTGGATGTGAGCGCAGCCAGTCGGGCGGCACAGTGGATTTACTACGCCGTTGCAATCCCTGGTCCTCGACCGAAAGTGTTTTCAGACATGCATTGGATCGGGAAAAATCGCTCCCGAGCGTTCCGGGCCACTTTCAGAACGCGTCCTAGAATTCTTCGGAACGGCCGCGGCGCCCGATAGATCCTCCACAGCAGCTGGATGTCAGGAGTCCCCGATTTCCCCCGATCCGGTGTTTGTCCCGTTCCTCGTTTCATTTCAAGTCCTTTCCCGGGGGCATCCGTGCTCATAGAAGAGGCAGCTTCACGATCCCATGAGCGATGCTATGTGCAGGAGACGGGCCACTGTCTTCCCGGGACTGGGGTTCCTCCCTCCCCCGTCCTCCAGGGCTCCGTCCTCCAGGCTTCCATCCACCACTACTCCTCCTCCCGCGTCCCCCCTCCCACGTCCCTCCCGCCCCCCATGCATCCTCGCCCTTCCTCGTCCCTGCTCGTCCTGGGAGTGCGCCCGCTCTGGTGGACCCCCCCTCTGCCACAGCGTCTGGCTTGTGGGGCGTCCCGCAGTGGCCGAGGATCCGCCAGATACGCTGCTGGTCGTGTCCGACCTCCTTGGCGGGTCCGTGTTGGGCGCGGACGGGCAGGTGGGTGGGGGAGCCTTGAAAGCACGATCCCCCAGCACGAGCGCGCGGACTTAGATCTGTGTTCGTCCAGAGAGGTCTTTGCCTTCTTCGAAAATCGAGCCTTGAAAGCACGATCCCTCAGCACGAGCGCGCGGACTTAGATCTGTGTTCGTCCAGAGAGGTCTTTGCCTTCTTCGAACATCGAGTGAGCGCCAAATCTCGTCCTCGGCGGGAGGAGGCAGAAGGTCGGCGTGAGTCGGCGGAGGTGAGCTGTGGGCGGCTCTGCCGGCGAAACCAGCGGACGTAAAAAGTGTTTCACCAAGAGATGAGACGGTTTGGTGGTTCACCTCCTCGTCCTCCTCGTCCTCCTCCTCGTCCTCCTCCTCCTCCTCCTCCCCCTCCCCCCTCGTGCTCCTCCTCCTCGTCCTCCTCCTCCGCCTCCGCCTCCTCCTCCTCCTCCTCCTCCTCCTCCTCCTCCTCCTTCTCCTCCTCCTCCTCCTCCTCCTCCTCCTCCTCCTCCCCCTCCTCCTCCCCCAGGGTTTCTTGAGTCGGCCATCTATGTATACAAGCAGGCACGCGTGTCTAAGCACACCGTGCGTCCATGCGTACCACTGCAAGCACGAGTAAGCAAGTACACGCGCGCATGCATACAATATTGTGTGCTCTGGTCTATTCCAACATGCAGGTGCGTCGTCTCGCAAATCCGCCGCTGCGCCTGGCTGGTGCAAGGAGGTAGGGAGCAGCAGGGTGGTGGGTGTCGGCTTCAGAACACACGTCAAGCAGGTTCTCGGTTTATTCGTTGATGTTGGCGAGGGGTCTCTGATGGGTTTGGCCAGTCAGCGGACTGGAAATGCAGTCTACGTCATTACTGCGTGCATTTGCAAGATGGCTGTTGCAAGGAGGGATGAACCTTGCTCCAACAGAGGCAATGAAGGACGAGAGGACGTTCGCGAATCACGTCTAGATCTGTAAACGTAATGGGCAGCTTAAAGATAATTTGTTGTTTCGAGTGACTTCTCGATGGGGCCTCAATGAGTTGGGACCTGTGTCTAGAGAAGGGGCCTGACCGAAAGATGGTCGCCTCTTCAGGTTTGAATTAGTGTGTATGTGCGTACGTGTGTGGTGGTCGCGCTATGTGTGCACATACGTATATGCACGCGCACGTAAAACAGATACCATGCCGCACACCCACACGCTCACACACCCATGTCTGCTTAGCTCTTGGAGGCCAGATCCGATCTCACGCTCATGCACAACACCACTTTGTCATTTAATGCCTTATGGAAGACTGTCGGGCAGAGCCTTGGGACAGAACACATACGAGCAGGTGAAGACAGCTTGACTCAGTCAGTCTTCGCATCGCAAGGCGGCGCGAGTGCTTCGCAAATGGGTGAAGATGGCGTGACTTTCGCATGTCAATTGGTTGCAGTTCTGCTTGCTCTTCATGTGAGCTCCTGGCCACATGTATAACAGCAAGCCGTCTTCAGGCAGGAGGGTAGTTGATTGGCAATGAAGACCAGTGCTGGGAAAACAGGTTTTGCGGCGGACTTCTCCTGCGCTCGGAGTAGAGAGCCGTCAGGTTGGCCCAGGTGCACGGAGTTGTCCTACGCGTGATTTTGCGAACAAGCTCATGTACCAACCCGCATCGATGTTTTTACCTTGAACGGGTTCGGACGGGATGCAGTTGTTCCGAATGTTGTGATGATCCAGCCCAGGCGCGGCCGCAGATTTTACTCAAACCAGGAGCATGTGTTCAAAGCTTTCGCACGAGTGCGCTTATGATCCATGTCTTCGTCCGCGGCTCATGCTGGTTGCCCAGCCAGGTGGTCGCAGCAACTCTTGCTGCACGGAGTGATCGCCTAGAGGCTCCCGCTGGCTTGGACAGACAGCAGCGAGGCAATGGTGGAAAGGAATGGAGGTTGCGCGGGGAAGCATAAAGAGACAGGCCCAGCTTGGGACCAGGAGCGAGGTTGCATGGGTAGGCCGCTGCGCATACATGTGTAGTGCGGGACTCTCCGGTGATCGAGTTGAGGAAGAGTGAAGCGGGGTCCTCTGCAGGGCCGCCGGTAGGGACACTTCGCGTATCCGCACCAGACCAGCCAGAAACGACACCCGGCGAGTTGTGACCCAGCCGTGTGCAGAAATGTGATTCAACGATTCCTCAGGGAGTTGTCGGAATGTGCCAGCTTGTTATAGTGCCGATGTTGTGCGCTCATCATGTAGTAGCCTGTGGCTACTCCGCATGTGGTCGCTCAGCCAACGAAGCGGATCGGCCTTCTGAGGCCAGCGGCACCGTGGCAGACGTGGACCTCTTGTTCAACATGGACGTCGCGCCCGAGGCCGCCCTCCACTCTCACGAGCTGTCTGTCTCGTGTGACCCGTTTGTTGTTGCTGCCTTGCAAGCAAGTTCCTGTAGGGCTGTGCCCCAGTCGGCACGATCGAAGTGGGTACACAAAGAATTGTGCCGAATACCAGCCTCACATCCTGCTCGCTTCGAACAGAACTCGATGTCGCTGCCGCGCTGCCCAGTTGCGAAAGAAGGTCGCCCGCCAAGCAGCGGCCTCTGTCGGTTCTGGACACCGCTTGCTGCTCGGCACCGTGCCCATCTCTTCCGCACCCGCTTCGGGTGTGCCACCGTCGCGGATCGCCGGGCATCGCCGTCGCCGCCTGGGGCGAGGCGGAGGAGCTGAAGGAAGGATCCTCCTCCTCCCTCCTCCTCCTCCTTCTCCTCCTCCCCCCTCCTCCTCCCTCCTCCTCCTCCCTCCTCCTCCTCCTCCCTCCTCCTCCCTCCTCCTCCTCCCTCCCTCCTCCTCCTCCTCCTCCTCCTCCGGTGCGGGTGGCCCCGTGGACCGAGGCCGAGGCGTGCTGCCTCGACCTCGGGGCGCCGAGGCGGAGGCGCCGAGGGCCCCCGCGGAGGCGCCGAGGGCCCCGTGGCGATGGGCAGCGGCCCGGGAGCGAGGCGGAGGGGAGCATTTTCCACCACCACCACCATAAGTTGGAGGGGGAGGGGGTCCTCCTCCTCCTCGTCCTCCTCCTCCTCCTCCTCCTCGTCCTCCTCCTCGGCCTCCTCCTTCCCCCTCCAGCTTATGGTGGTGGTGGTGGAAAACAGGCACATCAGAGGCGGAGGGAGCGCAGCTCGCCAGGGCCGTCTGGGGAAGTCCACGCCCGTCCAGCCAGGGCGAGCAAGCGAAGCTGGCCTCCAAGGGATGGCCAGGATGTCGGCACACGGAGCCACCGCGATGCGACCGCTTCAAGCTCGATGTCCGTGTCGGCCGGCCCGGTCCGATTCCATGTCGGCATTCCGACGATCCGATGCGGCCTGATGCTTGCACGACGTTGTTTTGTAGCGTGGCACACCCGATCCGAGTCGACGTCTCCCACGTGCCGATGCAGCCCGATCCGACACACATTCTGGTCAAATCCAATGTCCCGTTTCGACTCCTTTGATCCTGCGATCTGTTTATAGGTGCGTGTGTACGTATATATATGTATGAATAGTTATGTGTATATATACGCATGTAGAAGGAGAGAGAGGGAGAGAGAGAGAGAGAGAGAGAAAAAAAGAGAGAGACAGAGCTAGAAGGCAAGTCCAGGGCTACTGCAGGTTTTTGCCCTCATTGCGTCATGCCGTGCACGACGCTTCGCGGCCATGTCGGCCACACCCGTAGGACAGCGTGACTGGTCATCGACTGCGAATCATTTCTTGCCACCGGGTCGCTGCAAAAAATCAGAGGCAGAGGGAGTGCGCGAGAGAGAGAGAGAGGGCAAGCTGTTTGCGCTCGCGCCACATCCGATATCCCAGCCCTTCCTCCCATCCCGCCGTCCCACTGCGCTGATATTGTTCTCTGTCCGCGGATGCGTGTCATGGCCGACCTGTCACTCCAGAAACGAGAGAGAGAGAGAGAGAGACAAAAAAAAGAGAGAGAGAGAGAGAGAGAAACAAAAAAAGAAGGAGCAACCAGTGGGCTGGCCGTGCTGGGCGCGGTGCCCACCCAGTGCCAGGCCCGCGGCGCCGTGCGGGCCAGGGCGGCGCGGAGCGCCCAGGCCGCAGACCAGGGCGAGCGGCCAGGCCGAGGGCCGTGCGGTCCGCGACGGCGGCGGGTAGCCTTAAGTCGAGCCTGTCCCTCTACAGGGGGGATGTTCAAAACAGTAAAAACAATAGCCTGGGGATCATTTGTTGGGCATATGTTGGGCATTGTTTAATTTTTTTTTTTTCGTGGCGTCGACCTGTGCTGAGCGTGGCACCCCCGCTCTGGCAGTGGCCCCTGTTGCCTCCCCCCCCAGTCCTGCATTCGCGGCTTCTCGCGTCGTGCACTTGTTCGGTGTCCCCCCGCAGGCCTCCAGCTCATGCTCGGGGCCTGCCCGCTGTCTTCCTTTGCCCTCGCGGCTGCCTCCCATCGCGCGCCTAGTCGTCGGGTCGGCCGAAGGGGGGGGATAGCAAAGGGGGGGGTTGAGAATCAGCTCACGTAGCTGATTTCCCCGGCGCCTCCCGGCGCCGGAGGCGGCTATGTATCGAGGAATGGGCCCCTCGGTGGCGCCGAAACCAGCTGCATGCAGCAGATTTCGTAACCCCCCCTTGCCCAATCCCCCCCCTTTCGCCCGGCCCGAGTTCGGCGCCCCCCCCACGAGCTCCCCCTGCCCCGGGGCTCGGCCCCTCGTCGCGCGCCGGCGCGGGGCCCGCCCGCGCCTGCGCCGGCGGGCTGCCGGCTCCCTTGCTGGCCGCGTTCCCCGGGTTGGCCCCGTCGTTGCTGGCCGGTCTTGCCGCCTGCGCGTGACTGCGCACCGCCCCTCCCGCCTGCCTCGCCCTGACTCCGGATCCGCCCTACTCTGGCTTTTTTTCCAACTTGAAATTGCGTCGGAAATCCACCTAGAAGAGGCCGAAAAAGTAGGGCGGAAGTTGCTGCACCCAACACAAAATGGGGCGGAAACCCACAGAAACAGCAACAGAAAAGTAGGGCGGAAATTGGCGTCAGCGGGGCCTGAAAAGTAAGGCGGAAATTCCAAGCCCTACTTACGAATCTCCCCAAAGTAGGGCGGATCCGGAGTCAGGGCGGGGCGCTCTGCGCCGCCGCCGCTTCCTACCTCTCGGGGCGCCGGCGTTGCCGGCGGGGAGGAGGAGAGTATGAGGAGGATGAGGATGAGGAGGAGGATGAAGGAGGAGGAGGAGGAGGAGGAGGAGGGGGTCGGGGCTCCGCGCAAAACCTTGTTCCGGCCCTGACTATGGCACCCCTCGGCCTTGCCGGCTTGGTCGGCCGGGGCGGCGCTCGCTTGGCCTTCTGGCCGCGCCCTCAGCGCCGGCCGCTGGTGTCTGGTCCTGACGCCTTCCGGCCGCCCGCCCAGCAACGGCTGCCGGTGTCTGGCCGTGGTCGCTTCTTTGTCGTTTCGCCGCGTGCAGGTATTCAGATGGCTCCGCCCCTGGCGTCATCCGCTCGCGCTGGCTTGCCGGCGCGGCCCGCCTGCCCGCCGCCGGCTTGCATCCGGCCTCGGCGATCTCTCTTGGCGGGGCCCCTCCTCGTGCCCTCGGCGCTGCTGCGCCCCTAGGCAGCCCTTCCTCGCTTGGCCTCGGCGCCCCCCTCCGTGGCCGACGTCGGGCCCCCTCCCGTCGGCGCGGGTCGTGGTCCTGACCGCCCGCTTCTGCGGCTCGTCCGTCGCCCCGCCCCGGCCGCCTCGGCCCGCTCTCCGGCCGTGCCGCCCCGGCCCTTCCCCCGCGCTTGCGCCTCGCAGGCCCGCAGGTCTCGGCGCTTCGTTTCTCTCGTGGCCAGGGCTCGGCTGCTGGGTTGGACGCCGCGCCTTCCGGTGTCTTGTTCCGCCTGGCTCCAGGCTTCTCGCCGTCGGGGCCGTCCAGTGGCGACCTGTGCCGCTCCGTTGTGGCCCCTCGTGCCCGCTACGCCGCGCTCGCTTCCGAGGTGGGCCATTGGCCCCCTCTTGCCCTGCTCAGCGCAGTTCATGCCGAGGCCCCCTGGTCTCGGTGCGTCAGCTGCCCTCTGGGCCACACCTGGCGGTTCGCTGGGCCGTGCTGGCGCTCCCGTTGCTTCTCTTTTGCCGCTCAGTCAACTGGGCCGCGCGTTCCCCCTGCTTCTGCTATGCAGCTCTGTGCTGTCTAGCTCAGCTCACTGCAGCTCAGTGCATCTCAGCGCGCTGTCTTCCCCTCCCCCCCCCCCCTGGCGCTTCCTTGGCTGCACCTTTCCTTGCGCGCGCCTCGTTGGCTTGCTGGTCTCGGCGATCGGCCCATCCTTGGACCGTGCCTTGGGCCGGGTCGGGGTTCGCGACGCTGTTATGCTCCATCACCAGTTGCAGCACAGCGCTGCCTCCCCCCATCTTCAGCTCAGCGCAGCTCAGTGCAGCTCAGTGCTGGCGCTGGTCCCCCACCTCGGCGCTCCCTCCGCCGCAGTCGGCAGCTCTGAGTGGACCGGCTTCCTCTCCCCCTGTCGCGCCCGGGCTCCTCCTCCTCCTCCTCCTCCGTGCACTGCGGCCTTAATTTGCATACAGCGTGTACCCTGTTGCCATGCCGCCGGGGCTGTCACTCTCCGCCCAGCCGTCGACGCAAAAAAGTGTGCCGGTCTTCTATCGAGGGCCTCTCTTGAGGTGTGCTGTCAGGAACGCTTGCTTAGCGTGTCGCGCCGCTGGTTCTGGCTTACCACGCTTCGGCGCGACACGCCCACCATTCAATTCCCAAGCGTCAACACCCGGAGCCCTTTCCGAGCCCCCGGACACGCACAGCGGAACGACACGCCATCCGCTTGCAAGGCACACTGCGTCGCCCTGATCCGTCAGTCGTACACTCCCAGGTGCCAGGGTTGCGGGCACACAGGGGTTCACAAGCAGTGCGCGGCGCCGCGGCTCTTATTCGGACAC